ATCCATCCCGGATCCATCCATCCATCCATCCATCCCATCCATTCACTCATTGATTCCTCAGTTCCTTCACCCATTTTCTTACCCGCTCACCAACCGTGCGCTAATAAATCATTTATTCATTCCTCTGCTCACCTCTTGACCCACCCATTCATTCATTAATACATGGAGGTATACATTGATTCCTTTATTCCTCCACTTATTTATTCACCTCAGCCTTTCCTTATTCATCCAATCATTCATTTCTCCACTGACTCATTCATTTATTCTATTTCATTTCATTTACTCATTATATTCCACTCCATTCATTCACTTCTTTATTAATTCAATCTACCCAAAAAAATAACTTATTACCTGAATGCAGTAGAAAAATCAAGAATCGTCCCATGAATTTGCATAGCACTTTTCATGATTTGCAATGTGAACACAAATTGTCATGGCTATTCTAATAATGGTTAAACTTTTTCCATTTTATGATAAAAATGCCACAAGAAAAAGGAGAAACAAAAAATTATCCAATAAAAATAAATGTACCAATAAAATGACCAATCATATTCAAACCAAGTAGACTGATTATTAAAAAAGTAGCCAATTAATAATAGGCAGCCATAGAGAGCTCGGTTTTATTAAAGAAGAAGACAGTGAAGGAACAGTGTTGACATATTTGATTACGGGGCCTGAAAGGTATAAAAGTGTCACAAAATTTTCGTTTTCACTTTATAGTTCCCTTGTAGAAAAGTAAAAGCAGAGTAGAAGAATAAGTGATTAGCCTCTGTGTGATATTTGTCTGGCAAACCGTCAGCTTCTTGCATTGGCGGTGTCACACCCGGGTAAAGGTGGTTGTGAAATTTACATGAACAAATAGGCGGGCAGGCAGGTGCCAAAGATGCAAGTCTACTTTCGTTGACAGGTGCGTTCGGTGTGACGGGCGTGAAATTCTCCAGACACATCCGGTCGGATACAGTCACAAATTTAATGAGGGTAGGGAGGACAAGTAAATTACTTAGCGAAGACAAAGGAATGCCAAATTTGTGACATTCTTGAATTTACTAACAATGGGTGTGTCAATAGGGTTTCTAAGCAGCTTAAGTATATTCAAAAAATTGTAAACAAGCAGGCTTAAAATCTTGCGATTTCTTTTACGCGTACTGTTGAAAGAGAATGCCTAGATAAAAGTAATAAAAGGAGCTTGTGAAGAATAAAATTATTTTCTAACTCTTAAAAATATGTGACATGAAAATTTTCAATAAAATTATGAGTCTTCACAAAAGCACAAGCTACTTAAACTAAGGAGCGCCTAATTAAGTAGCATGAAGACTAAGCTGTTAATTACTCTCCTAAATGGTAGGACGTCCAAAAGCAAAATAATTTTTGCATGCCAACGAAATTAAAATAAAATTTACAGAGGGGAAATAAAGAAATATTTTGCTTGGAACCTCTGGTAACGCGTCAATTCATACAAAAGCGTACTACATAGTGACTTCATCATTTCAAATATACTTAAAGCACTCCAGAGAGCCATTAGAGGCAGGAACCAGAAGTACTATCTCTTGAGACAGAAGACATCTATAATTAAAAGGGAGTTTGCTTATTTTAGGTTGAAATGGGTTTTGTTGCGCCATGACTCGATATGGTGAATGCACACACATCACACAGCAGACAAAAAGAATGATATGATCAATTTATCCTGATTTCACCCATTTTTAACAAATCGAATATATTTGTATTAAATTCCTGTAGAATGAGAGTGTGGCAGGAAGGAACCTCGCTGACCGATTAGCAGTGGCAGGCACAGTGACTGGGACAATTTGAAGGGACCAACCAATCACTTCCCTTGGTGTAGTAGCTAAGACCTGTGGGCTGGGACAAAAGAAGAACATTTAAGAGTTGCCCCAATTTATTATAGCCTAAAATAAAAGTCAGAAAATGGTTTAATTTATCAAAGAAGAAGAAGAAGCCATTTCCCCATTTATAAATATCTATTAAAACGATGTGACATTTCACCATTTGGTTTGACAACAATAATTAATGATAAGTTTCTGGAACTGAAAGACAGTAATTACTCCCCTAATCTGCGTAATTAAGCCGTAATTATCCTAAAAAGTGGTTGATTTGTATCGCTGTCATTAATGGGGAGAGGAGTTTAATCGCCTGGCCTGACTGTAGCAAACTTCCTCTCCCTCCTGGCCCCTCCTCCACCGCCTCCTCCTCTTTCCTCTCCCCCCCTGTCACATGGGGCAATCATTTCCTTCTGATTATTACAAAAACAAGTCACTCATTTTGGAATTTGTGCGTTTAAAGGTATATTTTAAAGTTATTAGGGGTTGAGTGATAATGTCCTGGCTCATGGGATCGACTGGTTGTTTGTTAATTTTAAACTGCGGCATTACTAATATTTAAGAATTTTATGTAGAAAAGAATAATCTGTGAAGTTACATTTATTACTTTTACCCAACAAACCACTTGAAGTGTTGTGTCATTGTGACATCAGTATAGGTAGTGTTGTACCACTTGAAGTACATACAATAGAAAAATACTCATGCACAAAGTGGCTCCATAATTTCGAATTGGAGGTTTTTATTACCATTAAAAAAAGTAATCGTGATGTATCACATTGGGCGAACGATTTTCTCTTCCATCGACGTTTGTGTGAAGGAAAAGGAGACTATAGGTTTGTTTTCTTTGTGAATTAGAGAATCACTGAAATGAAATGACTTTATTATATGAAAAGGGTGAATAGTAGGTATATTGAGATGGAGCAGAGTGTGAATTTAAACAAGTTGAAATCCTGAGAGGGAAAGTGAAAGGCAGGCCTAGGGATGGATGGAGGCAGGCGAGCAGGGAGGCGGGCAGGCTGGGAAGAAGGGAGGGAGGGAGGTAGGGCAAATTAAAAATGAAATTATGATTCAGGCAGCAAGAAGGTTACATGAAGTGAGGTAATTATCCGCCAGATGGAATGGGTGGGTGGCTTCGTCCGATGTGAGGCCATCTGCTCACTTCTCACGCTTCGGGTATGCGGCCCTACATAATTATAACTTTAATTAGCCATCTTTTACAGGTTATTTGTACACCTACATTCACACTCCTCCTGTGTCGTCAATATCACATCCTCATTAAATTCTCTACTGTTTAATTAAAGAATATTAATATCTGTTATAAAATTGGGCAAATGAAATTCAACAGGGTTTACTTGGGGCTGTGCGGTGTACTCAAGGCCAAAACTTACTGATTTCCCCCTATATATGAGTCATCGCTGAAGACTAGTGATTACTTTGACAACAACCCTTTAATTACCGGCATTTCCCTGTAGATTTGAAACTTTTTTCGGTAAAAAAAGGAAGGAAAGCCTATTTTTGCGATTATTTTACCCTGTTAATTATTTCCCCTGTTAATGACCTCCTAAATATGTGCTTATAAAAGCGGAAGTCTTATAGCGTTCCCATTTCGTGTCTTACTCACATCTGTACAAATGTCAATTGAATTGTCATTTATCGGTGTCATAAACATGAGTTGTAAACTCTACCGTAAATATTCAAGAGTTATGCGCTTTATAAATTAGGGGGTATGAGTCATCGGGGAATGCAGATGATAGCTTGCTTCTCCCCCCCCCCCCCCCCAACGCCCCAAATCAGCGTTTTATACAATTTATAAGTACATTTAGACATTGGAGCAGTTTTACAAATATTAATTTCGGTGTTTACTTTACTCACAAAAACATCTAGATTTTTACAAGGCTTTATGATTAATTCACCTTTAGTGTGGACGTTTAGAGCTCTGAAAGCAGGGCAATTATTAACCGGGTTAAGGGCTTTTCACATGACAAAAGGCGCAAATAAATGAAGTTGATTTTGTCATAAACTTTGTTGTCAGTTGACCGTTAGTTGAAGTATTGCCTACTATTCTCGCAACATCTCATCTCTAGAGGCTAGAGCATGAACACTTGAGAATCGTGCAAAAAGTAGGGGATAGGAATTGTAACTTTTATTTATTTTTTATAAGTGTGAGTTATCCCACGAGGGCAGAAGATGGGTGTTCTCAAAGGGGAGGATTTATTCTGTACAATTATACGTAGTATACTACATGCTTATCCGATAAGTAGGTCACCAATAGACTAGTTGTGTAGGTAACCCGTAATTAATTACTATCGAAGAAGGAACGCTTCAATTTATTACTTCTGTTTCTCGGAGTAGTAACAGTTTATCTAGTAAAGGGATATATCTGCCTTCGTTATGTATATACATACATACATACACATGTATGCGCATACTTATGTTCGTCCATGCACACGCTCACATCCATTTGCAAGTTACTCTGCCCTAGGGGAATTAATGTAATGCAATCGTGTTTATACACACCCCGAAAATAACCACCTTACTTTCCTTTGTTAATAGGGCAAGCAGCAACATGCCACTCCAGACTTTGCCACTACATAAAATACCCGTTCCACATTTTTGTAGCGGACGACATGAGGAGTTATTTTTGAAGAAGGAGAAGGAAAAGTGTATATGTTTATTGGCAGAGTACATAAAACAAGTAAATTAGTTATGGGTCTCAACTTATTGTTATATCAATTGGCCTCATTTTTCTCGCCTCCTATTGGCTAATAAGGGGGACGACCAATCGACCGATCGATTTTTTACATGCGTCAGCAGTGCTTACCTGTAGGTTCTGTAATAACCGAGTGCACGATTCAAAAGCGGATTTGTCTTAAACTTGTGTGCGTAAAATGGCCATTTTTGTACTTCAAATGCTGACAAAACTTGTTTTTATTTTAAAAATAAAATTTTTTTGGGATGAAACTTGCATATGAAAATGCTGCAAGCATTATGAGAGTAAGACCGGAAAATGCTAATAAATGAGGATCAGGCTGAGAGTACTTTGTGCCTCCATCATGTGTAAAAATACACTAGCTTAAGGGCTTAGCAACACCATCCTTGATAAATCACATGGTGTACTAACGACTGCATCAACGCCTCAGGGTTTTAGTCGACGGAGCTAATATACACATATCTGATCATAGCTAATCATTAAGAGTGAATTAAAAGCATAAAATTAAATTATCAAGATGTTCTCATAGATTGTGCATCAATGGCTTAGAGTGCATTCGTCGCAACTTCTCAATCTTAACAGAGAACAGTTCTACTTATAAGATAAAATATGGACAAACTATAGTTCGAAGGGCAAGCAACACAATCCAACACCTAAATCATTTCAATGGGAATCAGGCAACCACTGAGTTTCATTTTTGCCTTTGCTCCTTTTTTAATCTCTTTGAATGCGGATGATTATATCGAGTGCTTCCAGAAGTTCGCAAATGCAGTCAAAACATTCATTCATTCATACGGTTTTTGGAATGAAAACATTTAAAAAAAATTCCAGTTAACTTAGTTCTTCCAAGACAAGCCGAGCTGAGGAGAGTTTAGGCGGAAACTGGAGTTGGGGTTGTAAAAATCAATAATTATCGGGCAATCAATATATTCCCTTAATGCTCTTTGATTATTGATATAAATGGAGGAATTATAAATTTTTCAACGAAACAATGACACATTTTATATGACAAAGTTAATACTTTTTCTCTTAAAAATCGTATGCAATAATGACATGCTGATATTATGGTATTCATTAATGTATTGAAATAAAGGATAGTCAAATGAATAATAAAGGGGTGAATAGGGAATGAATTGATGCATGAAAGATAAATGATAGTCGCATGATAAACGAATGAATGATGTACGGATGAATGAATGAATGGGTGGTTTAATGAGTGAATGGACGAATGAATGAATGAATGATTAAATGGGTGACTCCTCAAACATGCTAATGAAAGTAAATGATTATTTCAACAGTGTTTTTTTCTAAGAGACATGCATAAAAATCCTCAAAGTGGGGGTATACTAAAAGCAACAAACTGGAGAAAATACAGTTTTTACTAAATGAGGCCTTAGTGTTTGCAATGAGCTGCAATGCTATATTTCTATTAAGAAAAGTATTATGAGGTTTAGGTGGAAGGCGTCAAAGAAGGCTTCTCATTGTAAATTTTTATTGGAAATGTGGAGACGGTAGGAGGAGGAGGAGGAGGAGGAGGAGGAGGAGGAGGAGGAGGAGGAGGAGGAGGAGGAGGAGGAGGAGGAGGAAGAAGTAAAGACAGCATACATAC